ATTGACCAATTTTGAAGAAACTTGGTTTCTGGTGCCTATGAATGTTAACTTAAATAATGATAGCATTTTTGTAATTTTAGCGACACTAGAAGGCGCTCAAGGCACCTATTTATCATTTAATCCAATAATATAAATAAGTATGAAATATAATACAAATACATTATTTATCAATATATTTAATTATATAGTGATTTTAATTACACTTAAAATTAGTAAACATTTAAATGTATATAAATATTTATAAAATGTAAAAATGAAATTTCAATGAGATTCACTCACTTTTCAATAAAACACATAATATCTTTAAATGTAACACTTGAACAAAAATATACGGACAACACATTGAGAGCACAACTATTACTAGTGTTGTAACAAATGTTTTATTCACAAACATTATTATTGAATATATACAATAAAATTCACATTTTGTTAATCAAATATCAATCGACTCAAACATTACGGCATTAGTATAATAATTATTTGCTGCAAACGAGTGTACATTTAAATCAATACGTGTTTTAGTCATTGAAATGCTTATGGAAAACAAACACAAAAAATAATTAAAAAACATTTTTATTTAATAAAATATTTATTTATTTAATTAAATGCTTTTTCCACAAGACTTCGCACTCAATATGTTTGAGATTTAGTCCAAAATTAGTGCCAACTTTGGGCTCATTAGTGAACTCATAGTACGGGCCGATTGTCTGGCCGTCTATTGAATAGTATGGCTCCCATTGAGCGCCGCTCTGCGCCGGCGGACTCCCAGTGCGAGCAAATGTACTCAATATGTCTATCATTTGTCGGGAGACCTGCCGTTCCCTCTCGACATACTTGTGCTCATCAATCAGTGGTAAACCAAACACAGGGTATATGTCATTGAAATGACAGACACCCATCCATTTTGAACACAAAAGTTTCTCATCACCCGATTTGGTGTTATAGTAGTACTGATAGACGCGGGCCGTCGGGTCACCCGAGTGTACGGCCTTCCCATACAATATGGTGGGACAGCCGAGCACTACATCGCCTATGGCTACACCCACTTGTTTACGCACGCTATCAGTGCCGGACAGACCATTCAGGTAAAACTTAACGATATCATCGGCATTGACAGGTAGTCCGCCAGGCGTTACGCCGAATAAAAATTGCTTAAAATCAGTCACAAACTCGTTATGGGCTAAGGGTTTAGGCGCCCACTTGTCATACCTGTCCGGCGCTATCATAGGTAGGATAAAAGAGCCCTCGTCTTCATTGGTGCCGATCATTAGGTTTAGGCCTTTCTTGTAGTCTCCGTTGCGGAGCATTACGTCCGGTGCGTCCGGTAGGAGCTGTCCGTCCACTATAAGACTCATTAGCCCGACCTCATCGGCGGATATCATACTTTGTATTGTTACCAATCGGTCGGCCGACTGTCCCAACAGGCAGTCAATGAGTTGAGGGGTAAACCTATCGGTGCTTTCACTGTCGCCGGCATCGCAGCCCAGTTTAACGGCTGCGGCCACCCATCGGCTCTTTAACAGGCGCTTGTCGGGCAGTAAACGGCTGTTAAGCGGCGCTCCGGACATCACAATCGCCCGCCGAAACAGATGTCGACTGACCGGTGACAACGTGTGAATTGCCGTCGATATAGCGCCGGCACTCTCGCCAAACACCGTAACCATATCGGGATCGCCGCCAAAGTATTTGATATTATCGCTGACCCACTCCAGTGCCAGCGCCTGATCCCATAGGGCCTGATTGCCCGGCGCCGGACCCTCCTCTCCTGTATACAACTGGCCAAATATATTAAGTCTATAGTTGATTGTGACCACAACCACATCGCCGAGCGCTGACAGTACGTGTCCGCTGTACCACTTCTCAACAGCTGATCCCAATACCATTCCCCCGCCGTGTATCCAAAACATTACCGGTCGGAGTGTTTCCGGTGCCGAGGGGTTGGTGGCCGGCGACCAGATGTTGAGATACAGGCAGTCTTCAGACATATTAGAGTTGACGTATTCGTTGTGCACTTTCATGTGATAACAGGCGGGCGGCCAGTGCTGGGCATTCAATGGTTCCGTCCACTTGTCAACCACTGGCACCGGCTTTTTGAACCTCAGGGGTCCGACCGGTGGCTGAGCGTACGGTACGCCCAGATATACGCCCAGATCCCGGCCCTCGTATGACTCCCGGCGCCCATTAATCAACCCTTTGTCTATCCGTACGCTCACAGTATCGCCAGTTTTATCATGTGTTACGTCAACACCACTCACGCAAACACTTATTGCTAATAAAATTATATTTAACGCATACATAACAAACATGATTTTTACCAATATGTAAAAGTTTTTATATTTGTCACAACTTAACATTTATTAATATTCAACTTGTTCAATTTAATTCTGCATTTAGTTTATATACACAGATAGTTGAATTATTTATACGTTATATTCCTGTTATCAAAATTACCTGATCATTTAATAACACTTGATACTCGTTATTATTGCCATATATAATATATTTTAAACATGGTACAAAATATGCTTAAAATAAATAAGTACACCATATAATTATAATTGAACTTTAAGTACAAACTATAATTATAAATAAATTTATTTAACAATTATAATTAAACTGAATGTTTATTGCATGTGGTGTTGACTGGCATTGATTTTATTGAGTACATTTAAAGTGCATGTTAACTTTAATGATTATTTAACTGTAAACGTTATAGTGCATTCAATACATTGAGTTGAATTTGAACTAAGGTTGTTTAATGGCCTTCACTGGATGGGTTTAAAAATAACATGTTTATTTATCATACAAAGTTATATAATACAGTACTAATAATTTATAAATTACATATACAGTTATGCAGTAGTTTAAGCATTTTATATAATTAAAATAAAGCATGATAATCCTGAGCACCTTGATCAAGCAAAACTATTATTTATTTATTTTAACTTTATATTAATATTGAGATAATTTAACTATACCTAATTTAAATTATTATAGCACTTAATATTAGTACAATGGGTATATTGAAAATATTTCAAAATTTGCAAATTACATGTTGGTAATTATATATTTTATTCTCGAACAAAATGTTTTATTTATCCTTGGTAATTTGTGCATGTAATGATATATGTTCTCAATTTATGATAAAATAATATAATAAATGCTTTCATAAATATGTTTATATTAAGTATAAAATTCAAGACAAAGTTTAGACATAAACGCGAGAGAAAAAAAAAGTTATATTATAAACCATTTATATTTTATATTGATAAAAGTGATAATTAACTTATTTTGTTCTAACTACAGTATTCGAGTAATTACATTAAAATGGTGAAGTTGAATAACTTTTTTCCAACTTCGTTAATAGTATGACCATAATGCAATATTTGTAATACTTGTGATTTTATTGTTTGAAAATGTGTTCACAATTAATGAGTGTTTCGTTGATTGGAATGAAGAGTAAATTCAATGCAATGAAGAGTTTGTGTTGAATTAGATTTTGCTTTGTTTGGAATTTTTTGCCACAATTTTCTTACATTTGAATTTCCTTTCATTCAAATGAACACAAC